TTAGGAGACTACAGTCGCCTTTAGGAGACTACAGTCGCCTTTAGGAGACTACAGTCGCCTTTAGGAGACTAAAGTCGTTTTTATGGATGAAGTCAAACTTTAACTAAAGTTAAAAACCAGTTTGTCCCGAGCTGCGTCTAACTGGTTGCTGTGGTCTCCAGTAGAACCTACCTTGGCCAGCTGGTTCTTCACATCGGCGAGTTCTGAGGTGAGGGCGGCGTTCTGGCTCAGCGCCGTGGCGAGCGCCGCCTCGCTCTTATTGAGCTTGGCCTCCAGCCCGTTGGCCCGGGTCATGGCGGCGGCCAGGTCTCCATCCTTCTTCTTGGCTCTGCAACAGAAACATGGATCAACCATCCAGGCTTCATCACAGAGCCGAGCATTGGACCAGAACCAGAACCAGAACCAGAACCTTTTCATTCTCCAAACATTTAAAGCAAAGGGAAGATCTGCTCAGACATAGATCTATGGAAGGGTCTTGCTCAGGGACCCAGAGTGGAGGCTGTGGGGATGGAACCGGGAACTTTAGACCTTCTCAAAGCACTGCTCTAACCCCCCCCAGCCTAATCCCATGGCGGGGAATCAGCAGCCTTGGTGTCCACCATCTTGGATCCCCTCACTTACGTGCGCGTGGCTTCATCCAGGTCCGCCTGGACCTTCCCCAGGTCGATCTGAAGCCGGGCCCGGTCCTTGGCGGTGTCGTCCAGGACGCGGCGAGCGTCGGCCAGCTCTGCCTCGTACAGAGCCTTCAGACCCGTCACCTGGAGACAGAGGGAGACACGGTGAGGCAGGAAACTGGGAGGCACTAGGACCCCGCTGCCGGTCCAATGGTTGGACCAACAGCACTGGTCCTGGAGAACACACCATCAGGTTAAACTGGGCTCTACTGGTTCCCAGAGCGGCTGAACAGGAGGAACCAGACGGAACCAGTGGCATCAGAACCAGGACCGCCTCATTTCAACCTTGGTCTGCTGGGGTTCTGGTTCCTGAAGCCCAAACGGACCCAGTGCAGGGGGCTGGTTCTGCCCAGATAATCCCCAGAACAACCTACTGGTCCCAAGTCTTCCAACAGGTTCTGTTCACCATGAGTGGACCAGCAGGATCCAGGCAAACCGGGTCAGAACTCAGAACCGGATCCCTGCCCTGAATCAGACCAGAAAGGCCGTCAGAACAGTCGTGGGTTCTGGGAACCTGGCGGTACCAGCTGCCCGGTCGGCGCCGCTGCCGGCTGATGGAGGACCCACCGGGTCTGCAGCCAAGCTGGACCAGAACTTTGGGCTTTGCAAAGCTTTAACTGATTAAACCTGGAATCCTCTGTTGCTCAATGATGGTGAAAACAGCAGTAATGGTGAAAACAGCAGTAATGGTGAAAACAGCAGTAATG